GTAGAGATCTATGAGATGAATAAAAACATATTAATCAATAACATAACATACAAAGTATTTTCTGTGGTGAATAATTCTTACTCGTTTGGTACTTTATCCGGCTTGGGGAGTGATGCACTTTCCCTATCGTGTAGTGAAACTAATGCTGTCCAAAGTGATCCTCGGTTCAAACAAACAGGCTCAAAATCTTCGTGATATGTTACACATTCAATATCTAACAAGGAAAGAAATAGGTATTGTCAACTTGGATTTCTTAATTAGTCTTATATTCACTTTCTTTTCTGTATTACCTTGCGTCAAGTGGTTAATAAACCTGAGATTTTTACAACAAACACACATCTCGGCCGTCTCTAGCACTTCGCATTGACCACAACTACACCATGTAGAAGCATCTTCAAGCCTTGTATCTTGATCTCYSATCGTCTCTTCCTCCGAAGAATTACTTCCTTCATTCGACTCATCACTTCTTATTTCATTTTCATCGAATTCTGGCTCAAACTGGAACGGTTCTGCCATGATTTCGCTCGTAATSGTCGTAAACACAGGAATCCGCAACCACTACTTGACGTCACGCTCTACGTCACGTTAACACAGGAACCCCGTCAACGTATTTTAATGGAGTAAAATCGGCTCAAAATAWGGTGAAAAWATCAWTTTCKGAAWTTTTTAACGCCAGATTCGGAATCAGCGGCAATTTTTACATTATATAACTTAAGCTTAAGAAGAACCTGAGGATCCCTTTAAAAGACTTCTGATCCATCCGGTTCCTGTTGGAGTGCTAGTTCACTGTCTCCTCCCAGTAATGATTTATACTGTGTATCTGGAACACCACCTGCAGATGAATTGGATGATGAAATGGCAGGGTATGAACCAGTGAGTGATATAGATAGTGAAAGTGAAGGGCTTGATGAGTGTGCCAGCAACATTTCAAGCCAAGAAAGTGAACGTAAGTACAATATTAGTACACTATCATGTATTCATCACTTGAGTTTGGTGATCAAATGACCACACTGCACCACACTTGAAATCAGTCAGTTATATAATGTTGTTGCTATATAGAATTTGTAGTTTTCACTTTTAATATATTTTAAATATATTATACTATCTCATTAAAATTATTTTTCCAATTCAGAATCAGAGAACTCGGATGTAGATGAAGATGGTGTTGGTGATCATGACTTTGATATAAATGAGAATGAGAGGGGAGGTCTAAATAATGCAAGGAATGATAGTATTGAGAAATTTATAATGAGAACCTTAAAATTAAAAGTGAAATTTGGATGGTCTAGAGAGGAAACTTTGCATCAATTAAACAATTTATATGAGTATGCTCAAGATGATCGAATACCTCATGGGGATTGGCAAGGGGTTATGAAATTTTTAAAAGGAATCGGTTATGATGATCCACGTGTTTATAAAATTTGTTGTGCAAATGATCACGTTTATTTGCTGGAGCAAGAAGCCGAAAGATGTCCTACTTGTGATAAGAGAAAAAAATGCATTGATTATTATGTGCTTGGAATAAATTTGAAGGAAATGTTCTCTGGTGATGACTATATCAAAGACATACTTGCGCATTGGGAGAATAGGGAGAGTTGGTTTAACTTGAATGAAAATGTTTTCCCAAAAAAAGAGATTTGGCATGGTGACCGCTTTAAAGAGTTGTCCCATTTTTGGGA